CGATGGTGATGACGGCCTCCATAGGCTCGGTGCCGTCGGCGATCGGAACGAGGACCTTGTGAGCGTTGGCCATGATTGAGGAAGAGAGAGAGTGTGAGGGAGTGAAGCGGTTATTGTTGGGTTTGGGAGTGAGAGTGAGAGGAAGCGTGTGAGGGAAGAATCGTAAGTGACGCAATGCCATTTGTGCTTTTCTTTTTCTATTTTTTTTTCCTCCTTCTTTCTAGAGATGTCTGAGTCTGACTCGCTGTGTTATTCTGCTTGTCTACGTGTCTCCTTCATGTGTATCTGCATCGGACTCATATTATCTATCTCATTTATTTTTTTTTAAATACGAAAGAATTAAACTTAAATTTTTATATTTATATTAATTTTTATTATTTTTATTTTATTTAATATTATTTTTTTTAAAATAAAATACAAAATATGAAGACAATTTTTTATAATATCAAAATAGTTTTATGCAACTGAAAACAACTTCATGTAAATATATGGAAGTATTATATTGGTTAAATACCTCTTTTGGTTCCTTACAATATTTTTTTGTTTCAATTTAGTCCCACTTTAATTTTTGATTTCATGCACACCAAAAATGTAACCAGAACGGGCCGTTCTGGTTTCAGAACTGGCCGTTCTGGTTCCAGGTGTATTTCAGTATTTTTGGATCCACCTACGTGGCATCTACGTGGCATCCACTTGACATCCAAAAGAGACTCCGATGCTAAAGTTAGTATTTGTGGGAGTATCAGTCCCGTATAAGTAATGCACGTACCTTAGTGTGAATTAGGGTTGCTTTGGATCTTTGGCCTGAGATAAGATATGATAAGATTAGATGATGGATCTCGTCTGGAGCGAAATCCCTTGAGATCAGTTATGATCTACTTAAATGCCGAGCTGACGTCGCGTAGCGCGTGCTCGAGGTCATCTTGTGCTGTAGTGCCGAGCTCCCGAACTCGGAGCTCAGCTTCGCAGTACGGACAGTACAAATACTAAGTTCATCCCTAATATACTAGGAATGATCTTATAATTACTATGTCAAAAAACTTGATTGATAGAAAACAAAAATTTAAAATATAAAAAAAATAAAAATAACTAACAAGTCCTACACATTTTTATTTTTCTTCTCTTAAAGATCACACATGTATAACATTAAAAACAATTATGTTCAATCAGGATAAACTATTATGGATAGAGAGGTTGAATCAAAGATTTTTTATTAAACTAAAATGGTTTCACCTTAATCGATATAAAGGAAGTGTAACTTCTTTCTTTCTCACTGAATTATGTATTGTAACAATAAGTGATATTTCTAATTGTATCTTCATGTTTAAGTCAATAACCAAATCTTAATACTTAATTAAAAATCACATGTGCAAAACCACTTTAATTTCCATTTATCAAATTAAAATAAAATATTTTAAGACACAAACATAATCTAATTAAATATTATTGGCTGTTTGGCTAATAAAAAATTCTCTCATTCACGAGCCATGTGACACCATAAATAATCCCACCTCCTCATCAGGTTTTAGCTCCAAAATCACTTTATTCTCCAAAATGGGAAACGACAGCGTTTGCAGGCTTTTCTTCTTCCTCGCCCTCTCCCCATGCCTTCTCTATGCCATTTCCCAGGATCACCACATTTTCCTACCGACTGACTCACTGAGTTCGTCGGCGGCGAGTTGCCTTGCAACCGACCCAAACCTTAACTACAAGCCGGTCATCGGAATCCTGTCGCACCCCGGCGACGGCGCCTCCGGCCGCCTCAGCAACGCCACCGGCGTTTCTTACATCGCCGCCTCCTACGTTAAATTTGTGGAGTCCGGTGGCGCTAGAGTTATTCCCCTTCTCTACAATGACTCACCTCAGACCCTTATCAAGGTACTATGTTGCTTGTTAACACGGCAACTAATCAAATCTTTTAAATTATTTTTTTTTATTAATTAAAATATATAACTGATTGGGTGTATAAAATTTTTTTAAACTAATAATATATTGATGAATAATTCTAAAAATAATTAGAAATATTTAGTATTTCTAATAATTACATAAAGACATAATATTAAAAAAATTATAAATATAAAAAAAAAATTATATTTAAAAATATAATAATTTATTAAAAAGATAAAGATTAAAAATAATTATATACTCTAATATTTTTAATTATTAGGTAGTTTGTGATTAAAGATAGTTTGAACTTTGGTTTATAGGAAAGTTTGAAGGAAATTAGGTGACAACGGCTAAGATTTTAGAAGATAATTAAAGGTGAAGAATTTTATCATTGTGATTAGGGTTGATCTAAACATAAGGCTATTTAAGCTCTAGTTTTAAGCTTTAAATATTTTATTTTTTATTTATAAAACTTAATAAATTAGTTGTATAAGTACTAATTTTGATTTGTTGATTATTGTTTAAGTCTAGCATAGTAAGAATTGAGTTTGATTTTAGTATTATAACTTTTTTGCTGAAAGTTCTTTTTTTATGTGTGATTATTGATTTTCTTGTCGCTCTCTCTTATTCTTATAAACTTCAAAACTTATTTTAGACCTCAAAAATATGTTGGGCCAACCTGATTGTAATCGATGCTTAACTCAATTTTGCTTGACTTGATGCAGAAGCTTGATTTGGTTAATGGAGTGCTCTTCACTGGTGGCTGGGCTACGAGTGGTGTGTATTTGGAAACTCTTAAAAATGTTTTTGAGGTATATCATTATATTTTTCTAATAAGCGTATACTAGCTTAGTAATGTGCATAAAAAATTATTGAGAATAGCGTACTTTAATATATATTTTTTTAAAGATAGAAAAAATTATAAAGATAGTCAGAATAAGGATTGAATCTACATCTTTATATTTTTAACTATTTCAATCCTTCCCCACCCAATCACTAAGTTAACCCTAATGGTCTTAGCCTATTTTAATATAGACGTGCTTGATCGGGCCGTTCGGGTTTCAGAACTGGCCGTTCTGGTTCCAGGTGTATTTCAGTATTTTTGGATCCACCTACGTGGCATCTACGTGGCATCCACTTGACATCCACGTAACCACCAGTTAACTCCGTTTAAATCATTTAGACGGAGGTCCCAAATTGGAACGATTTAAATTATTGGGGACCAAATTGAAATCAAAAATTAAAGTGGGACTAAATTGAAACAAAAAAATATTGTAAGGAACCAAAAGAGGTATTTAACCAATATAATACTTCCATATATTTACATGAAGTTGTTTTCAGTTGCATAAAACTATTTTGATATTATAAAAAATTGTCTTCATATTTTGTATTTTATTTTAAAAAAAATAATATTAAATAAAATAAAAATAATAAAAATTAATATAAATATAAAAATTTAAGTTTAATTCTTTCGTATTTAAAAAAAAATAAATGAGATAGATAATATGAGTCCGATGCAGATACACATGAAGGAGACACGTAGACAAGCAGAATAACACAGCGAGTCAGACTCAGACATCTCTAGAAAGAAGGAGGAAAAAAAAATAGAAAAAGAAAAGCACAAATGGCATTGCGTCACTTACGATTCTTCCCTCACACGCTTCCTCTCACTCTCACTCCCAAACCCAACAATAACCGCTTCACTCCCTCACACTCTCTCTCTTCCTCAATCATGGCCAACGCTCACAAGGTCCTCGTTCCGATCGCCGACGGCACCGAGCCTATGGAGGCCGTCATCACCATCG